CTACACTTTATGAGAGCAGGGGCAGGCAATGTACAAGTTACGAGTTCGGCCGAACACAATAATTTTCGTTCAAATTTTGTATGTGTCGTAAGAAATTCAATGAATTATCAATTTAGAATTCAGTAACTTAAAGTAACTAAAACTCCAAACTCATAAGTTTCACATTTTAGCCCGCCCCGCCTATGAGGGGAGTGTGATGTTACAGGCAGTCTATCCAGACACAAGTGTGACTAGTTGATTCTGCGGCTCGAATCCAAATGACTTTATAGGCAAAGATCCCTTCTTCTAATTAGTGTTAGTATTATTAAATATATTTTTGGGATAATGTATTATTTAATATGTACATGCCCATACATCAAGATCATGGTTGTTAAGGAAAGGGAATCATATTTACGAATCATGCTTGGTAGTTGAAATATAACTAGGGACTACTAAATGCCTCCAAACAAAATATATTAATAAACAAAATAATTTTCCATATGCCATTTAAGTTGAGGTATGTATTCACCTAACTCTATGAATTATTTATTCTTGCAAGTTATTGACTTTTATATTTAGTTCATCTTCTGAGTTTTTACAAGATTATATTATATATTACATTAGTTAAAATGATTTACGTGGAATTTTGATCATGGGACTAAGCATGAATACATGAAGAAGGAAAATTCATTTATTCATTCTTTAATTAGCAATGGCAACACAAAAATTTTTAAACCAAAAATCTAAAATTGTTTTTCCCCCAGTAAAATATAGGGGGAATTACGCTCCTTGTCACTTGGCCCAACAATCCATCAGAAAATGGCCAACGTTTGAAGCTCTTACCTGATATGGCCCAGGTTGTACATAATTTAAAAATTATTTTTCACCAGTTAGCCCACCCTATTTTTTTTTTCTTTTCTTCGTTCTTCTTCTTCATCTTTCACGACTTTGCATCCCAAAATTTCTCTACCATTATATATATTCTTCAATTCTCCTTCCAGATTCAAAGTTGATAATCACTATTAAGATGAGAAGAAAAAATACCACTTAAGAGAATTATTATTTTTGGAGTCACCATTAAGGTCATTAGAAGCTTCAATTTCAGAAATTGGATTTTTCGATTTTGTTAGTTGTTTGGATTGGGTGTTGGCCCAATTGATTTGGATCGTCAAGGGCAGTCCAAAACTCAAATTTGAAGTGATTTGGAGCAGATTTGAGCTAGATTTGAGTTTAATTCAGAAGATGCCCAAAGAAGAAGAAGAACCCGTGAAGCTCCATTGATAGGATTCAATTGTATAATAGTGTATAATAGTGTATAAGTAATGTATAATGGTGTATAAACACCTCTTATACATTATTTTTTACAAGGTTGATACATTACTTATAGGTATTTGGTGGATTTCTCGCACTTCTTCTTCTTCTTCTTCTTCTTCTTCTTCTTCTTCTTCTTCTTCTTCTTCTTCTTCTTCTTCTTCTTCTTCTTCTTCTTCTTCTTCTTCTTCTTCACCTATATACATGGTGTATCACTAACATTTTCACTACTGTGCTTATACATCTTTATACATTTTTATACAACTATATATATAATATACCTCTTTGTATAAAAGTGTATAATNTTGTATAAAAATGTATAAGCATCTATGACGAACTTTTTGTACGATTTTCACTTGCAATTCTTGATTAAAACTATTCCAAATCTCCATTAAATGACTTCAAACTCTGTATACAGTCTACTTAGACTAATTATAATAAGTTCAAACAATATCCACTCCAAATTTCTCACAAAATCATATTCAAAATCTAACACGATTAGCATTAAAGAAGATGAGATTTTAGATTTCTCGCATCTGTTTTTGAATTTTTCGATAGGTGTGTAGAAACTTGAGGAAAAAGAAAAATGGAAATGTTTCACGCTTGAAGATATAGAGCATAAAAAAACTGGAAAAAGATTCAGATCTAAGCTTATTGATATTTTGCTACACATTTGCAAACTTGTAATTGGGCTAAAATAATACAAGCTCAACTTATAAAGTGCATTATTATGTAATTTTGTCTAAAATATATAGTATCTTCCCATGGCGAGACTCTAACGATTAAATAAATTTTAACTACCGAGGTATATAATAGAATGATACGAGTTTATTAATCGTTAACTAAGGTTTCGAATTTGAGGGTCCGGGAATATTTAAGTCATCTTTGGTTGGCAGAGCTGGCCTAAAACCTTTCGTAGTAGCTAGGCTTTCTACGGTGCAAATTCAAATTAGTTGATCGGTGAATTTCAAACACCAAATATTTTAACCTAAAATATTTGGTTAAAATGTTAAATAACTTTCAGCCTTTTATTTTCTTGAAATATGAACATGTTGGCTTGAAATGCGGAGAAAATATCTAATCCAGCTAATTTTAAATGACATTACAAGTTTGACCTACTAAGAAAAAGATGATATAGAAAAGCATGGTCTCAACATCGTCTACAAGCATAAAGTTAATTTAGAAGAATAAAGAACCTTAGCATAATTGCTACATTTACTTCATTATATTCCTAAACTAAGTTATCCTGCCAAGTGCCAACATATTCAAAGAATCTAGCCTACTAAATTTGGTGGCTTTTGTTCCCTAGTTTTCAGTTCTTCTATTTATTTATTGTATTTAATTAAGTTATAAACACAGATATTAAAAAAAAATTATTATTGGTGTACTTTAACCGGTTGTAACATATTTAAATATATTTTCAAGATTATCATTTATGTTCTGCATGCTATAAAGAGTAATGGCGTATATGTTATTATTGTATGCCAACTTGACCTGAAGGTGCAAAAAAAATTATACTCCTACATTGTAGTGTATAAAATCTAAACTCTTATTGATTTAAAAGTTTAGCAAGGATAGCTAATGTGCGCCAACAACGATGACTCGCCGGAAAACTAATCGGAAACCTAATTTGCAGCAACTGCTCCGAATGGTTACACCTGATTCAGGAATTATACAACAACTAGCTCCGGTACAATTGCTACAATGGATGCCAGGAATGGGGAGTGCACCAAAAATCATGCAAGCCCTGCCGCCTAAGGAAACCGAAACTACAAAATTAATGGAGAACATTATGGCTACGACATCAAGGAAATTGACCTATTCTACTGGTCTGGAGAAGAGAAGAGAACTATGACAGATATGGTCAAAGGCAATAGAATAGTGCAGCAAGGGTTACAACTCAATTTCTATCCGCCTGAGGTGATAGATGGAGTTAAAGTTGTGAAGCCGAATCATAAATAAATAGAGTGGCAATGCCAAAAATGGGAATCAACACTCATTGGGTATGTCATGGGAGGAAATCCAACCTTCATGGAGATGCTGAAGTTTGCTTATGGAGTGTGGAATTCAATTACTACTCCTACGGTATTGCAACATGATGATGGTTATTTCATATTTTGATTTAATTCAGTTGAGGACAAAATGCAGATTATGGCAAAAGGATCATATACTTTCAACAATAGACCAATGGTGCTGAAGAATTGGGAGCCAGATTTCGAGTTTGATAAAGAGCCTATGCGTGTGATGCCACTGTGGGTCACATTCCCAGGCTTACCTATACAATGTTGGGCAGAGAAAAATCTGGTAAGAATTGTGAGTTGTTTGGGAAAACCTATATGCACTGACAGACTAACGACACAGTGTGAAAGAATTTCCTATGCTCGTGTGTTGATAGAAATAGATATAACACAGCCATTACCAGATGGACTGAATATAGAGCATCCTGACAGTAAAATAAGGGTGCAAATTGTGAAATATGAATGGAAGCCAAAACTATGTCAAGAGTGCAACCAATTTGGTCATTCTAATGGGGAATGTAAACTGGAAAAACAGAAAGGGAGGCAAATGCAGATGAATAAGGGTAAAAAGCATAAATGGGTGAGGAAGACTAAGGCTGATACAAATGAAGAGAATGAATCACGTGCTGGTGATAAGGAAATAAATAAGAAGAAGAATTCGCAAGAGGAGTTACAGGAGATTCAAATACAGATTGGAGGTAGAGGCAAACAGGCTATGGTTTTCCATGGTAAATCAAGTACAAAAGACCAAAGATCAACAAACAATAGACTACGAGGAGCTGACAAGAAGAAATAAATATGCAACACTGAGGATTTAGGAAAGTGAGCCTCCTGATAAGGATGGAGGCAATGAGCATAACCAGGTACAATGACTTACCAAAGGGCCTAATCCAACAACCATTCCACCAATATGATTTTCAGCACATGGAATATTAGAGGACTAAACAAGTCCCTTAACAGAGGGAGTTTAAAGACTTTAAATAAAACTGATTTGGTAGGATGTTTAGAGACTAGAGTTAAACAAAGGAGAGCAAGGAGTATACAGAAGAAGATAGGTAGAGAATGGGAATTTCTTGATAACTATTCTGAGGCTCCTAATGGTAGAATTTGGCTGTGCTGGGAAGGATCAATAGTAAATCTAGTTATGTTGCAGCTATCATCACAACTGATTCACTACCATATACAAGATAGAAACTCTAACTTTCAGAGTTATTTAACTATTGTGTATGGGTTACATACTATAGTTGATAGAAAAACTCTATGGGATCAACTGAGGGATATCAATGCACAAACTAAAGGTCCTTGGCTGATCATAGGGGATTTTAATAGTGTCTTGTCAGTAGAGGACAGAATAAATGGGGTACCTGTTCACCAAAATAAAGTGGTTGATTTCAAGCAACGCATAACTGACATTGGAATAGGTCCGATAAACAAGAAAGGGATGTAATTTTCATGGAGTAATAAGAGAGGGGTTGAAGATAGGATATACAGTCATATAGACTGCGCGTTTGGTAATACAGAATGGTTTTAGTCATATGCAGGTATTGAAACAATATATCTAGTGCCTGGATGCTCTGACCACACACCTATCCTATTAAACACTGAAGTACATAGAATGCCTGTGAAGAAGCCTTACAGATTACTGAATGTCCTGTTGCAAGAGGAGGAGGGTAAGGCAACAGTGGAACATATATGGGGGCAAGCATACAAGGGCACACTATGTACTCCATTTGTAGGAAACTGAAACTACTGGAGATTCATACTATGGGAATACAAAGAAAATATTCATCAGTGGAGGTGAAACTCAAACAAATAAAGGAGGACCTAAAGGTTATACAACAGAAGCTGAATAATGATCATTTGAATCCACAACTAATAGAGCAAGAGAAGAAGTTTCTGATACTGATTGAGAAATGGGATGATGTACTTGAAAAGGTCTTAAGGCAGAAGTCAAGGGCTATCTTGATTAAGCATGGGGACTCTAATACTAAATATTTTCATGCAAAATTGAAGGCTAGACAGGCAAGAAATAGAGTCACTTCTATTTGTACAGAACAAAATGATAGATTGACTGATCCCAAACAGATTCAGCAGGAGTTTACACAACTTTTCAAGAAGTTATTAGGAGAGGTTGCCCAATGATGCCTGGAATTGATATTAACATAGTCAGGGACGGCCATTGTTTATATTGGCACAGCAGCAGCAAATGCTAGTGCCTGTAACAAAAGAGGAGATTACAAGGGTGGTGCAAGATTACCAAGTGATAAAGCTCCAGGAATATATGGTTATCTAGCTGAATTTTTCAAAGAAAACTGGCAAGTAATTGGTGAAGATGTCATACAGACAGTAACGCAGTTCTTTGAAACAAGGAAGCTACTAAGAGAGATCAACTGTACCATTGTCACTCTCATACCTAAGGTGGCAAATCCAAACTATGTAAAAAAATTCAGACCTATTGCATGTTAAGCTTCTTACTGCTAGGCTGAACATGGTTGTGGATTATCTGGCGGGGTCTTCACAATTAGCATTCATAGAAGGAAGAAACATCTTGGATAATGTAATACTAGCCCGTGAACTGATCAAAGGTTACATTCAGAAAGCAGTTTCACCAAGATGTACAATTAAGGTGGACATTAGAAAGGCATACGACTCAGTTGACTGGAACTTCTTGAAGGACCTTATGCTGGAACTTGGTATCCCATATAAAATGGTCAAACTCATCATGAAGTGTGTAAGCACAGTCTCTTATTCTCTACTGATCAATGGAGGATTAACACCTAAGTTTCAGGCGAGAAAAGGATTAAGACAAGGTGACCCAATGTCACATTATCTCTTTGTTTTGGTGATGGAGTACTTGAGCAGATCTTTGAAGCAATTGAAATCAAATCCAGATATTAATTACCATCCTAAGTGTGCAAAATTGGGGGTGGTACATATTTATTTTGCTGACGACTTACTGATGTGTTGCAGAGCTGATAAGGTGTCTATTGAACTTATGATGAAACAGTTTGAAAAATTCTCGACTGCATCAGGTTTGCAGGCTAATATTGAGAAGAGTTCATTGCATGTGGCAGGCATCTCTACTCAATATAAGCAAGAAATACTGGAGAACTGCAGTTCACCACTGGAGAAATACCATTCAAATACTTAGGTGTCCCACTGTACTCAAAGAAACTCACTATTAGTCAATGTATGCCATTGGTAGATAGAAATTAGAATTGCAGGAAGGGTTAGATGCTGGACTGCCAGATTCTTATCATATGCAGGGAGAGTTCAGCTAATCAAGAGTGTGTTTTTTGAAATGCGAACTTATTGGGCACAAGTTTTTCTGATTCCAAAAAAATGCATGATATGGTTACTGGGATTTGTAGGAACTTTTTGTGACATGAAAGCATTAAAGGGAAGAAAGCTCTTATTGCATGGGATACAATTTGTAAGCAAAAGCAGTAGGAGGGCGAAACATTATCAACTTCTCTATGTGGAATAAAGCAGCAATAGGCAAACTGTTATGGGAAATTGCACAAAAGAAAGACAAACTCTGGGTTATGTGGATACACAATCACTATATAAAGAAGAAGGAGTTAGAGAACATGGAGACCCCTAAACAGGCTAGCTGTGGAAAGGAAAATTTTCGAGGCCAGAAAATGGCTAACTACTGGACTGCAAGAACTGAAGCTATATGTTGTACAGGGGAAATATACCATCAGCAGAGCATATAATTCATTCATACCATAGTCCCCAAACGTTACTTGGAAGACATTATACTTGACACAAGGTATGTTACCTAGGCATCAATTCATTTTGTGGATGGCAATGCTTCAGAGATTAGCAACTGTGGATAGACTGATCAGATGAGGGATAACAGTGCCTACAGAATGTGACGACCCAAAGGGTCATCACCGTGGTTTTCCCTTTTTCCGCGCTTCTGAGGCCTTGGAAACCTCACTTTTGGTTGCCTCGATTTGCATGCGCACTCCGGGCGCGAAGCCGGAAATTTTTTATGTTAAAATATATGAATTCTGTGAAAAATTTGGTGAATTATGATATTAATATTGATATAGTTGACTTTGGTCAACATTTTGGGTAAACGGACCCGGACCCGTGATGTGACGGTCTCGGAAGGTCCGTAGGAAAATATGGGACTCGGGCATGTGCCCGGAGTCGAAATCCGAGGTCCAGAACCCCGGTAAAAGAATTTTTCTGATAAATTTTTTTCTGAAATTAATAAGGAAAAATAGAAATGAAAATGAGTTAGAAAATATAGGTATCGGGCTCGTATTTTGGTTCCGACGCCCGGTACAGGTCTTAAATGTGCGTTAAGCGCTTCCTGTGAAATTTGGTCGAAATTGGACGTCGTTTGACGTGTTTCAGACCTAAATAGCTAAAGTTGAAGGTTTATGAACTTTGAAATGAAAATTATGAGTTTTGGGGGTTGATTCTTTGATTTTGATGTTATTTTAGCGATTTGATCGCTCGAGCAAGTTCGTAGGATGATATTGAGTTAGTGTGTGTGTTTGGTTGGGAGCCCCGAGGGCTCGGGAGTGTTTCGGAGGTGGTTCGGGGTGTTTTTGCACTTAGAAATATAGCAGATTTTCTGCAATTTTTGCACAGGCCTTTTCTTCTTCGCGATCGCGACCTTAGGCTCGCGTTCGCGCAGCTCATGGTGTTCCCCTTCACCGCGTTCGCATCATTACTTCGCGTTCGCATAGAGCTGTTGAACTCTGAGGGCCCAGCCCTCCTTCCTTCATCGCGTTTGCGTTAGCTGGATCGCGTTCGCGTAGAGTCCCAGCCTTACTTCATCGCGTTCGCGTGATGGTCAACGCGTTCGCGTAGGCCATTCCTTTGTACCCTCAGTGTTCCCTCTTCGCGTTCGCAGCCCTTCCCCCGCGAACGCGTAGCTTGCCAGTTCCCCCTTCTTCGCGAACGCATAGAACAAAAATACCCAGTTATATTTTTAAGTTTCCAGAATCAGAACATACGGGTTTCATTCAAGTTCCTCACGAACTCTCTTCTCCCCCAAGCTTTAGGAAGCCATTAAAGCTCCCTCTCTTCAAGACCACTTGGGTAAGTAATTCCCCACTCATTTACTTCACTTTTCCTTCATTAACTAGCAAGTTTCTATGTCTAAATCATGAAATCAAAGTAGAAATTAGGGGTTTGGGGTAGAGTTAGGTCTTTTGAGAAATTTTGGGTGATTCAACCTCAATTTGGGGTCGAATCTTAAAACAAATTATATATTTGAACTCGTGGGGTTATGAGTGACTAGGTTTGGGTCCGAGCCTCGTGTTTGGACCATGTGGGGCCGGTGTCGAATTTTGATATTTTTGGAAGAATGCTAGAAAACTCATTTCTAGGCTATGGGATTATGTTGTTGAGCCCTAATTGATACTATTGAATTAATTATGCCTAGATATCATTGTTTCGGAGTCGGATTGTAGAGGAAATGTGGTATTTGAGGATTGATTGCTATTCTTTAGACCGAGGTAAGTGTTTGATCTAACTTTGGTTTGAGGGAATAGGATTAGAGTGTCATTAATTGCTAAATGCTAAATGATCGAGTACGGTGTATAGGCATGGTGACGAGTATCTATACACCGGTGTCTAGCATGACCGTGGGTCCTTGTTTGCACGTATTTTTGATATTTTTGAGACTCTTCTATGCTAATTGATGAATTCTACATAATGTGAAGGGTTTGAGGATTGGTTATGAATTGTGAATTCTTTGGAGCGTTGGCTCGAACAATAAAAGTACTATTGAGTAAGAAATGAAAGAAATGGAAAGAGATATGATAAATTCCTTGCCGGGATGGTGTTAGTATATTGATTATCTCCCCTGCCGGAATGTGAAAGTTGTTGTTGTTACTCCCTTGCCGGAATTTAGCTGTTTAATTAGGTTTTTCCCTTGCCGGGACATTTCTTATTATTTGCTTATTCTCTCGCCCGTTTGGTTGTGATTGCTGTTTGGGTGAGGAAGAGTGATACTTGCACGAAGGGTCATTCCGTGCCATGTTTTGATTATATTTGCACGAAGGGTCATTCCGTGCCATGTTTTGATTATATTTGCACGAAGGGTCATTCCGTGCCATGTTTTGATTATATTTGCACGAAGGGTCATTCCGTGCCATGTTTTGATTATAATTGCACGAAGGATCATTCCGTGCCATGATATGAGAGTTATGTGAGGGAAAGCACGAAGGGTGATGCCGTGCACTTTATTTGATTATTTTGGTAAGTACGAGAGTAAAAGCACGAAGGGTGATGCCGTGCACTTGTCTTTGATTTTCCTGATGTACTTGCTAATAATTGAGTTACGTTGTCCTCTACTTCTATTTATTGATTTTCTTGTTGTTATCGGTTCAAGTGCATTAGTTGTCTTATTCCGCTATTACTGAGTTTCTTTATGTTGGCATTTTTCTTTATTGTGTTACTTGTCATTACTTATTTTCTTTGGCGAGTCATAATTATTGTGAACTAGTTGTCTTATGAGTTCGTATGAATTGTTGCATTGTTTGGAGTAAATTTCATTTGGAAGAACTGTTGATTTAATAAAATGGGAGCGGGTGATACGCCTACCACGGAAACATTGAGAAATGGGATCGGGTTGTACGCCTACAATGAGATGTGTACAGACAGTGAAATCTGCTTTTATCCTCCTTGCCCGTGTTAGAGATAATTCATTGATGTTCCTTATTATTCTCTTTAATTTCCGTATTATCTGCTATCCCCGAAGCATGTTCCCTTCCCATTTAAAATAGTTATTATTGTTATCTTCCCGCTGTAGATATATATTTATAACTGCACAGGTTTATGTGATAGTCCTGTCTAGCCTCGTCACTACTTCGCCGGGGTTAGGCCAGGCACTTACCAGCACATGGGGTCGGTTGTGCTGATGCTACACTCTGTGCATCTTTTTGCACAGATCCAGGTGTTGGAGCAGCATTCGAGTAGCAGTAGCATTTTGGGAGCGAGCTTCCAGTCCAGGGACATTCGAGGTAGCCTTGCTGACGCCCGCAGGCCCGGAGTCCTTTCTATTTTATCCTGTTTGTTATCATTGTACCGAAGCAGACAATCTTATGTTTTCATTCAAACCTTGTATTTAGTATTCTCTAGACGTTCGTGGGTATTGTGACACCAGTCTTGGGTAGAGGATTTTGTTAAACTTCCGCATTTCTTTCAGTTAATCATATTTGAGATTTCCGCTTATTTATTAAATGCTTTATTATTCCTAATATTGTCAAAGTTCGTTAAAAGAGGTAGTTGTTAATTGGCTTGCCTAGCTCCCATTAGTAGGCGCCATCACGACTCCGAGGGTGGAAAATCCGGGTCGGGACACAGAATGTGTTCTTTGTACAAATAATAAAGAGGAAACTCATGATCACTTGTTCTTTAAATGCTCATATTCGAAGTTCATATGGCAGCAACTTCTAAGTCTGTTTGGCATTGATCGACAAATAGGTAGATGGCAT